TGACTTTGCTTTCACTGCTGTTGTCACTTGCTATAATCTTTATTTTAATACACATATTCAGGTATACACACTATCCTATATCCTATCCACGGTAGTAAGCTAGTAGTACAGGCAGGCATCAGACCGGGAGTTTTCTGGTAGCAGAACCTATTTCCAAGCACAATGAGCATTTCAGCACTTTGACACACACAGAAAATCTCCAGGAACATTATTCCTTGTTTGTAAAGTGCTGGATATTTAAGCTATGGCTTAAAAGAAATAATGATGACACAGATAGAAACAATAATTGTTACTTAAAGAACACTCACCAAGGCATTGTTGCACAGTTGTAAACTGTAAGTATTATTTAACAAGTTCAAAGTAGCGTAACACTACTTTATGGCTTGACTTTATGGCTCTTTTCGACATCTACAGTTTAAATATTAAACCATCTTATATAATGTATTCACCAGTTCTCCAAAGCCAATAACAAAGTGAGACAATCACATAGATTACGCCTTTAAATTTAAATCTCTCTACAACAGTAATTTCAAACCTAAACAGTTCTTTAAGTGGACCTTAAATAGCAGTAAGTCTTCAACAAGTATTTACATTATTGAAAAATCTGTTATATTAATATTAAGGATTTTTGGCTCTGGTTGCTTTGTCAGCCATGTGATCAATCAATCCACATTGGTTTGCCCAACAGCCAGTACCAAGCCTGGCATCTATAAACAGGTGACTAAATTATAAAACAATACAACAACAAAATGCCCAAAACAATTCAGACATTTTAAATTGTAAATTGTAGTTCAGATAAAAGCCAAATAACAGAATATTGTATTTAAATGTTTAAAAGGACTACTCTGACCTTCACAGACATACACGATCATGAAAGAAGCTGCTCCTTTGGAAACAGAAGCTTGCATATCATCCGGACTGATAATCCTCTGTGTTTAGTGTGAAACATTGGAGGCAAACTGTGACTCCTCATCATTTCTCAGCATTCACTCTGAGCTCCATTTCTTTTTTTATGAGAGTCAATCAGTTCAAGACTCCCGTATTTCATCAGAGCCTTGAGGGGTCCCTCTCCTCCAGCTGCAGGTCAGGGTCTCCTGAAGGATTGAGGAGGTAGATGGATAGCTGATGGGTGGCCTTGGAGGAAGGCTGTTAATGGACAAAATGACTGACTGTTGATGGTGGTGAGCCACTGAAGGGCTGTTGATGTAGGGCTAAAAGACTGAAAGGGTTGTTGGGTGGGTAAAAGAACGAACAGCATCAGTGCCTGCTGGGTCCCGGTGAAAGATAACTGGAAGATGTACTGGAATTAATTGAGCTCCCATTAGCAGAACCCTGAAAAACAGACACAAATGCATAGCTTGAGCCTATTGATTTTACATTACATTACAACAGGTGTGGGTCCAGTCTTTTTTTTTTTTACTGGGGTTTACAAGTGGGGGACTGACTGTATGTTTCAGCTTTCCAGTCATTTCCAGTTTATACAGTTCCAATACTGTTCAGGACCCCAGTATGCAGGAATATTCAGAAATATAGGCCAAAATAAAAATGTGGTAGAAATTTTATACCACGAAAAAATGTTTTTTGCCCATAACTATAGGATTGAGTGGGCATATCGTGGGCACCCCAGGCCCCCCCTCTGGACAAGCCCCCACTAATGAAATCCTCTTTAAAATAGTGTTTTCTTATCTATAAATTGCCCATAAAAATTTTAAAGGCCAAATTGCTTGTGTTTACCAAAGATTTTCAGTTTACAATCACATAATTATGTCAAAGAAAAATATATATCAAGGCACTTTTGCTTGAAAGATGACTTTATCAAATTATCCAATATCAATATCCTTTCTGATTCATTTTGTGTTGATTGACTAATCGTTTAATCGACTAGTCATTTCAGCTCTAACACAGAGTAGGACAGCCTGTCAACTTTTAGGTTCAAATTTAAACTTAAGCTTAACCATAGGAAAAGTCTGATAAAGTCCGTAATGGTCAATAATGCTAAAGTTTTGTAGTTATTACCAGTCTCCGTGTTATTATTATTTATTGATGTTGTTTTGTCTTGTAAAACTAGTCCTTGGCAGGCAAACCAAAGCAGCGAAATGAGATTACTTTATGCAAATCAAAGACTTTATGCATGAATGACAAATAATGAATTTAATTTATTTATTGACTTGAGTTGTCACATCCAGTTCTCCTCTTTTACATGCTAAACCTCAACCGGCAAAACCAGTGCTTTTGGCAACACACTCTTGATAAAAGCTCTTGCAGATAAAGTGGAGCTGTACTGCTGGTACATTTTGCAGACTTTATATTTTTATAACCAAATGGACTAATTGAACACTGGTCAGGCATTATGTAACACCCCATTTGGAGTATCTATTAGATTAGAACTATTCCTGACCTCTTGAGAAGATGTTCAACTCTCAAACCCAGAGACACCAGAGAGAGGCTGTCAGCTGAATAGAGATAATACAAAAGATTAGACTGACCTTAGAAAAAAATCAGCCCCTTGACTTCTTCTGCATTCTGTAGTGTTCCTGTCTGAATTGGAAAATGGATTCATTGGAGATAGGAGACTTTTCTAACACAAGACCCACTCGATATACTCTATAATAAAAAACTGAAAACTATTTTTAGTTTTTTTTAACTGTCAGCTGAAGTTGAAGCACTGAAAGGGGTGGAAGTGTCTTTTACTTTTCAGAGCATTTGCAATTTTAATTTCAAGGCCATTGAATTTTCAGTTTGTGTAGTGTGTGTAGTTTGTGTCTTTGTAAGCACCAAAAGTAGTTAAACTACATAGTTGAAGCGTCTGTCTGTATGGCTGGTATATGTAGACTGAAATGGCATTAAGATTAAAAAACTAAATTCTGCTTTATTGGATTCATCTTTCTTCATCCAGTGATTTCTTGCTGTTGATGGGTGCAAGTCGGACAGTTTGAGGTCTATCATCACACAATCCAACTGTCAGCACTCTTAGCTGAACCGTATTTTGCAGTTGTATTTACAAGCTGAATTTGTAAATAAGGAGAGATTTTTGTTTAAGGAGGGTGACGGATAAGGAGTCGGAGTGATGCGAAGTGTTTGAGACAGACAGAAGGAGCCGGTAGAGGAGAGGAGTCACTCTGGCTCTCCCTGTTGGTCCTAGTCTGGCTCTCACTCAAAGAGACCTGGGCCTTTGATGAAAATTTGATCAGTAAAAGTACAGCTGGTACTGGCTGTATGCACCCTACTGGCAGGCTTTTAACGCCCCTGCCTGCATACAGATCACAGCATGTAACCTCATCCACTGAAGAAAGGCAAGAAGGGAAGGACGGTAGGAAGTAAACAATGTATGGAGAGATGAACAAAGTAAAAGGCTTCCAGTCCTTCTACTAATCAAAGTTAAGTGCTTCAAAAGGGAAAGGACAGAGAAAGGACAGACAGCAGCAAGAATGAAAGAAAGGAAAGCCAAAGAGAAAGAAAAGGAACAAGGAAGGTGTGCATGAAGGAAGATATTTTAGGGGAAAATAAGGGGAGGATCCTGAAAGAACTACAGAAGAAGGAACTGAAAAAAAGCAAGAGAAAGAATTTGATACCTTAGAAGGAAGAAAACCGAGTGACAAATTCTTTATCAGAATTATGTACCACATCCTATCTGTATACACTGGTGCTATACTAATCCTTGTGTTGCAGTTAGTATGCAAGAAATCCACCTACTAAACGCTTTTATACTCACATCAAAATCATGAAATACTTGCACCGTCTGACATCAATCAAACCATGATTTGAAA